ATTTGTGTGGCTGTTTGGACTAGCTGAGAAATGAATCAAAGTAGCTCCAGAAAATATGACCAATTCTAGTCCCTATCCCACAGAATAATTGGCTTCCTTTGTTTTGAAGACAGAATAAGCAACTACTCTTAAAAATTCCCATTGTCATAGAAATTGAAGCTCGGACACGGCAAGGTGGAGGGAAGGGATGGCAAGGGCAATATGTGTAACCTTAACAATATTTGTACCCCCATTATATGATGAAATAAAAAGAGAAAACAAAAAAGAAAATGAAGTGTACATCATCATGCCAACTGATATAAAATGCTAAACAGGGTTAGCTAATGTGGAAAATCCAACTAGTGTTCTCCCATGCTACTTAAACCACATCAAAATCTAATACACAGGGAGCTGGTTTCTGATGATGTGGCTTAGTTTAAGTAATGAAAGTAGCATAATATTCAAAGGGAGTTCGGTGTGTTAGTCTCATTAATTAAGAGAAAATGACTAAATGATTTACATTACAATAGTCCTGTTGTTTAGGCATTCAATGGAACCACATAGCTAAGAAAATTATAGATCTCTCATTTAAGAAAACTGAGTTTGTTTTAGCAAATTTTTACAAAGTTACTAGAGTGTCACTGATACTATTCAGGCACTAATACAGCACAAAGGTTCTAATAAGATTGAAAGAATCATGCACATGACTTAAGAGGAATTGGTGACATGAACTCACACATTTCTACAACAAAATAGTTCCCCTGAAATAAAATGCTAAAGTGAGCTTTGCCTTATATGTATCTCATAACAAAAAAGTAAAATGATTAAGAAAATGCATTAATAATTTCACAAAAATGGGCTAGTTTCTCAGTAACAGATAAAAATAGAGTCTCTAAAGGCAGATAGTATTTCCCAGATGGCAACAGTTTTATGATAGGAATATGATAGTCAAATATTAATTCAAAATCCAGAAAACAACAACATTTTCTGAGTTACTGGTATCTACGGTGAAAGTTCCAACAACAAGAACAGAATATCATTATTAGTCTCATTATTTTGTCCTTTAAAATTCACACCTAATGGGTGCAGTTCACACGTCTGGGGGATGGACATGCTTGAAGCTCTGACTTGGGCAGGGCAAAGGCAATATATGTAACCTAAACATTTGTACCCCCATAGTATGCTGAAATAAAAATAATAATAAAAACAAAAAAATTAATTTTCAAGTGATTTACAGGTATTCTCTACTATTATAATAAAATAATTACTAGACTCGTTGTCTAAATATACTTTAATATGGGAAACATTTCAAAACTAGGTGTCTACATGAAGAAGAAACTTTAAGTTATCCATAAATTTGGGATTAAAATTAAGACAAGATCAGGATTATGTTGGAAGGGGGAAATGATCATAAGAATTGGTATTATGTGATCTGAAAAAGACAGAATGACAAATAGATGAAAGATAAAATTACTATTAAAACTTTACTTTTGCCTATTAGATCTCATAAAATTGTGGGAGAGCACATACTTTTAAACTATATTTTTTCCCCAAAACACTTCTAACATTGAAAAAAAATGTAGCTCCAAAGGAAAACAGTTAACACAATGTAATAAACAAAATGTAATAAAAATACATTAAGAACGTTAACGTGTATTTCACTTCTTGTGTATATTTACCCTCCACACAACCTATTCAGACTTAGTGAAATGTACAATATGCATGATCTTATATGTTTACTTGCAAGCCCATATAAATGCCAAAGCATTCAGTGCTTCTTTGGAGTCCTGACTGACAACATAAAATTGAAATGTTTAAGCATTCACAATAAATACAGTCAACCCTCTGTATGGACATATCAGCATCCATGCAGTCAACCAATTGCAGATCGAAAATATATTTTTTTAATTGCATCTGTACTGAACATGTGCAGACTTTTCTTTCTTGTCGTTATTCCTTAAACAATACCATATAACAACTATTTACATGTCATTTACATTATATTAGGTATTATAAGTAATCTAGAGACAATTTAAAGTATATGGGAGGACTTACGGAGGTTGTATGCAAATTACTCAATCATTTTGTGTCAGGGACTTGAGCATCTATGGATTTCGGAATCTGATGGACTTCCTGGACTTAATCCCCCATGGATACCAAGGATGGGATGACTGTACATCTATATTCCAAGTAGTTATCACATTCTGAAGGGCCACATGAATAGGATTTTTCAGGTGTTTTAAACGAAGCAGAACCTGCTTTTTACTTTACAGTAAAAATTGTAACTCTTTGAGAACTTGCTTTCTTGCCCCACTGTCAACTTTAATTAACCCTAGTAACTTATTCATTTATTAATCAATTTAGCATTTATCGAGTGCTTATTACATGCCTAACCCTGATATTCTACAGACTCCCCACTGAGACAATAGCAAAGAATTTTGCATATAATTCCTAATAAGAATATTTGCTGTATTTAAGGGAAATTATTAGGTAAGCTAATTACTGAACATTATTCAACCCTGCGCGAATAGTTTGATAAGTGAATAATGGGCTAAATAAAAATGGAAAACCAAACCAGGAAGCATAAAGTCATATGAGGGAAAATTCTTAAAAAACAAATTTTTAGAAATGAAACATAGTAGAGAAGGAGAAATTGTGGAACATATATGACAATACTTAGGTGCAAGGCCAACCCATTGCTCTAGGGAATATGGGATAAACTATCAGCTTGTGAAATTTTTTTTCTAGACCTTTATTTCCACAATGGTAATAAAACCAAAACCAGCCTCCTACCTCTGGCCTCTCTTCTCACCCTGTACTAAGAAACAAAGCAGCAGCATTATCTTTAAACAGTTCAGCTAACACCTAAAGGCAGCCTGAGAATTTTAAATAGCCCTGGGTCCCCATTATTAACAGAAAGCCCGATGAGCACCAGTCTCAAACACTTTGCCCCAGAACAACGGGCAGCCATTGAGACATGAGTTCCCAACCGGCTGAAGGGTAAGAATGAAACCATTTTAAAATGGAAACAGACAAAAGGCAAACTCCCTCAAGCATTTCCAAGCTATATCATTATCAGTGGTGTTGAAAGCTGTACTAAGACCAAGTGCCGAAGAGTAAGACCGGAGGAGAAAGCGAAATGTGCAACGTAAGGAGGTCATTTGTAATCCTGACAAGGGTGGTCTCCCGACTCACCATTTTTTAGGGGACTGAAATTTCCACTTTGGCCATCCCCCACAAAGGATAATTCTGGGAGGAGGAGAGAATGAAATTGGTCTGGTTGCAGCAGTGAGGGTCTTTTCTTTTTGGCTATCCTGGAATATCACCCATTTCCTGGGTCTGTCCAGATAGCCTCTTAATTTGTGTGCTCAGGTTTTTTGCAATGTCTGTCTTTCTCCATTAAACTAGAATTTTCGCTAATTTTCCTATACTCTCCAAAACTAAAAAAAAAAAAAAAAAATTGGAATAACATCACCCATAATTCATCTTCTAAAATATGTTGCAAATTCTTGTTTTGCTTTGCTTTTTAAATAAGAATGAAGATCTTGGTACTATTTAAAAATGCTCTGAGTATTTACCATGATGTAATTAAGTCAACCATGTTGTCTGGGGAATTTTAGCACCAATTTATATAATTCTTTTTTCTTTTTATTGAGACAGAGTCTCGCTCTGTTACTCAAGCTAGATAGAGTGTTGTGGTGTCTGCCTAGCTCATAGCAACCTCAAACACCTGAGCTCAAGTGAGACTCCAACCTCAGCCTCCCAGAGTGCTAGGATTGCAGGCGTGAGCCATCGCGCCCAGCCCTACTTTATGTAATTCTTGATGTTATTTATTTATCATATATTACCAGATACTCTCAAATCTGCATTTTTCTTTATTTGAATAAAATAAAAGACATGAAGCATTTGCATCATCAGAACTGTCAAGCAACTTTTCTCAAAAAAATAAAAATCTAATAAAGCATATTTAAAAAAATTTATCATAAAGCTGCTTTTTACAGCTCAGATTAAAAATACACATTTATTAAAACACAGTAGATCAAGATTCAACTAGATTCTAGAAAAAAGACACTACCATAAGCCCATCCAAATGTTTAAGCAGTACTTATAACATGTAGGAGGGCTATTTCTAGGTGAAATGTTAAAATTTGCATGAACAAATATCGTTTCATAATACTCCCAAGATTCAGATGGAACTATAGCAAAGCCTTACAATCTTTTAGGTGGATTTTCTTCTACCCAAGATTTTCATTTGTTTTCATTTGTTCTTGGTGTTAAAATCCATAGGGGAAAAAACTAGAAGACTCACAGGGCAGGAGGCTAGTGTGGACCGCAATACATCCGGACAAAAGCAGCAACACTGTAGCGTGTGCAAATCAGCACCTCAGGGAGACTCTTCCTACCTGCCCAGGCCTTAGCCCTGCACACTCCCCGATATGCTCAGCAGCCGCAGCACGTTGGCTCCTAAAAGTCAGTGTTGAAGGAAGAGCAGCCCACAGAGCTTTCGAATGCTGATTTCTGTCTCTGTGTACTACATGGCACACCAAATGCAAACAAACGGCAAGAAGGGAAAAAAAATACATGTTTTCACTGGCAAGTCTACAGAGTCTTGTGGTCAGAAGAATCTTACAATTTCTGCTGATGCTCCTGGAAATAGACTGATGAGCGAGGCTGCTGTGCTTTTTCAGGAGGCAAATGAAAGAATGGTGTTAAATAAGACAGATCATTCTGAAATACAGTTTTATAATAATCCTGAGATTCAGACTGAACTATGGCAAAGCCTCACAATCTTTTAGGTGGATTTTCTTCTACCCAAGATTTTCATTTGTTTTCATTTGTCCTTGGTGTTCAGACAGATTCCTAGCTGGACAGTTGAATGCTCTCATTGTTCTACTGAAGAATATTCTGTTATTCACTATTAACTCACTTTAACTGTATAGGATAGTGTTTAGTGTAACTGAAGACTTCACAGTCCTTGGGTAATGCTTTTGAACTGATTCTTGCTTTCGCTCATTCAACAGCAACACACAAATGCCACTTTCTAAGCAAGGCACCATGCGAAGCCCGGGGATGAAAAGCTGGAAAGTAACATCGCCCTCATCCATGGGAAGACTCCAGTATGTAGACAGAGATATACAGATCCCTATGGTAAGAGCTGTGATAAATTCAAGCTCAGAGAGCTAAACTGTACACACAATAAGTTAATTCTGGCTTATAGGGAGAGCAGCTGGGAAAATTCTATGTCTTTTCACTGCAAAAAAATAAGAAGAAAAAATATCTCTATTTAGAGCAGAATTTTCCAGCATTTTGGAGCTGACACGCTAATTTTTGTATCACATTCTTCCAATCAGCCCGAAAAGTCTTATTTATATGTCTAAGAGTTGAAGTGCATTGAAGCTAGTGCTGTTTTGAGACTTTATAACATCTACTGAAATGACCAGAGACTGCAGGGGCAATGTGGAATTGATATGGAATTCAAACTCAGATTACAAAAGGGAAAGAAATAGGCAGTGAGTCGATGACTTTCTTTCTAGTCAATATAGAGGTATTTCTACTAATAGCAAGTGACCGCTTTACTCAGGAAAACTGGACTGTGCCAGCTCCCATTTGCACATCATCTCAAAATTGTGTTGTCATTAGTGTCACCACCACATGAACAACTAATACGTATAAGGCATTAGCCACGTGCCAGGCACTGTGCTATCACAAATATTAACTCATTTAATCCTTACCTCAACATTATATGACAGGTACTATTATTATCCCCATTTTACAGATAAGAAAACTGAGGCATAGAGAAGTTAAATATTAAATAACTCCTTAACTACTGAATAAGTAGTAGAGCTGGGAAGCAAACCTAGGCAATCTGGCTCTTGCGTCTTAACTCTTAACCATTATACTAAACTGTTCCTCTATGGATTTTGAAAATACAATAAAAGTAAACACTGTAATACAATATTTACCCAAGAGAGTTAATTCTAACAGAAAAAAACTTTAAGTTTATATACAAGAAGCAAGGGATAAATCACCTGTAGGCTCCATAAATCTGTGATGCCCTGTGCAAAGGTGTTCTACTATAAAAATTGACTAGTCCTTTTCCAAAATCTCTCTTATTTTTCCCACCTAAATAAACCCAATTTATAAGATTAAATTTTAAATGGGTTGTTCAGTAAACTTACTTTAAGGATGATGATAAGCAACAATGTCTTTTATGTAATTATCAAAGATGTTGAACCCAGGTTCCGATCAGTATTATATGGGATTCCTCTTTGTTTTATGTTCTTTAGATACATCAGATTCAAACAGTTTCCTATTTATTACTATTCTTTCCAATTGTACACAATTAGATTTTTTTTTTCTTTTGAGACAGTCTTGCTCTGTTGCCCAGACTAGAGTGTCATGGCGTCAGCCTAGCTCACAGCAACCTCAAACTCCTGGGCTCAAGAGATCCTTCTGCCTCAGCCTCCAGAGTAGCTGGGACTACAGGCATGCACCACCATGCCCAGCTAATTTTTTCTCTGTATTTTTAGTTGGCCAATTAATTTCTTTCTATTTTTAGTAGAGACGGGGTCTCGCTCTTGCCCAGGTTGGTTTCGAACTCCTGATCTTGAGCAATCTACCCGCCTCGGCCTCCCAGAGTGCTAGGATTACAGGCATGAGCCACCGCGCCTGGTTCACAATTAGATTTTACTACCTAAATCATGAATATTTCCTAAATGTTTCTCTTCCTTCCCATCTGCAATGAAATTGTTCTATCTCCAGCTATCACCTCACTTCAGTTGTTGCAATCAGCTCCCTTAAATTACTGAGTTCATATTATGTGCCAAGCATTGTGCTAAAAGCACAATATATTTATTTCATTTGATCCTCATTAAAAAGTTCTGAGCAGAGTAGTAGTATCTACACTGAACAGGTAAGTAAAATTTTCAGAAATTAAGTAACCAGTTCAAGGTCATGCTGCTGGTGAGCAGTACAGCTGGGAGAACTCAGGAACATTGCACACACGGACAACCTTTGCCCCAAGCAAATCTTAATTTGCTGTGCGTCTCCTCTGCCCCACATGTATGAATCGATTAATACATGTTCTGTGCTTGACAGGAAAAATGCATAAAGTCCTTCCAACCTACGGTACCATTATGACTTAGCTTTCAATACGGTATCACCCACCCAGAGCTTTTGCCTCATTTCAAAGAAATATGTTCAGAAAAAAAGGAAAGGGCTATACAAAAATTAGAGTACATATCTTTAGATTGGACAGATTGAAAATTAATTCCATTTGGGCTGGGCACAGCAGCTCACACCTATAATCCTAGCACTCTGAAAGACTGAGGTGGGAGGACCCCTTGAGGTCTGGAGTTTGAGACCAGCCTAAGCAAGAGCGAGGCCCTGTCTCTACAAAAAATAGAAAAATTAGCTAGGCATGGTGGCTGGTGTCTGTAGTCCCAGGTACTCGGGAGGCCAAAGCAGGAAGATTGCTTATGCCCAGGAGTTTGAGGTTGCTGTGAGCTATGAGATACCACTACATTCTAGCTAGGGCAACACAATGAGACTGTCTCAAAAAAAAAAAAAAAATTAATTCCATTTCTTTTCATTTCTTACAGTTATAATATTTAATAAACATTAGCAATGAACCCAAACTGATCTAAATATATTATATATTCAAAGACTGACATTTTAACAAAATAACGTTTTTTCTTGAAAAAATTCTTATGGAATAGCATTAGATGGGAAATACAATGTGATGAGAGAAGGATATTTATGAAAAGTACAGCATATAAAACAAGTGTAATATAACCATTTCTAAAATAAAACTTCCTAAAGGACAACAGCAGCTTTAAAAATCTGATATTGTAATGAAAATTTAATGGGACTTCCAAACAAAGAAGCATTCATCTATTTCAAGACCTTCTCAGAAACAAATCCAAGTATTTGCCTAAGAAGTCTAGTCTAAGAATTTCTGATATTGTTAACTCTGTAATAGTCATCTGTGTGCTTTACTTATATGAATTAGCACAGTTAGTAACTGGTTTCTTTTTTCTTTTTCTTTCTTTCTTTTTTTGGATACAGAGTCTCCCTCTGTCACCCAGGCTAGAGTGTAGTGGCATCATTATAGCTCACTGCAACCTCAAACTCCTGGGTTCAATCAATCCTCCTGCCTCAGCCTCCCAAGTAGCTAGGACTACAGGTGTGAGCCACTATGCCTGACCCAAATTTTTCTATTTTTAGTAGAGATGGGGTCTTATTCTTGCTCGGGCTGGTCTCAAACTCCTGACCTCAAAGGATCCTCCTGCCTCAGTCTCCCAGAGTGCCAGGATTACAGGCATGAGCCACCACACCAAACCTGTTACTGTTTCTAAAAGTCAAAAAAAGAGATTGTGAAAAGATAAAAAAAAGGAAAGCCTAAGAAATGAATAATAACTTCTAAAGGGAAGCATAACAATTTGTATTACTCCATACATTCCAGACTGCTTCATTTTTTTTCTTTAACTACAAGTTCAGTATGATCAAAATACAGCAACACCAACAATTTTCATACTAAAATAAAATACTTCTATGCATACAAAATGACAGACAGTAGGCAGGTTTCTGTAATAATCTTCCACAAAGAAAGATATAAAATAAGGGAACAAAAAAAGAATAGCTTTCATCTCCTGTGGTTTTCATGTCAAATTCCCTTCCATCTTTTTTTTCTCTCTAACCTTCATTCTTTGATATTGGGCAAAAGGAAAAAAATTTTAAATTAAAGAGAAAAGACTACATGTGGGGTTTTTGTTTTGTTTTGTTTTGTTTCTTAAGAGAATCCACTACGCACCCATATTTCAAGACTCATCTTGCCACAAACTCTATAAAGCTTCTTCATGATGACCTTGTCCCAAAGCAGAACCTGAGTTCCCTCGTATTGTGTCTCTTTCCAGTCATGTACTTCTGTCTTAAATGATACAACAGACGACTACATTAATTTATTCCATCTCTCTCCACTGGAAGTTCCTTGTGGATATGGGACATTTCTTATTCCTTTGTGATTCCTTGGGACCTTGTACAGAGTTTGAAAGGGACTTCATAAACAGATATGTGTTGAAAGAAAAAAAATGAATAAATTATAGGTATGTCTTCCCCTAATTAAGGCCACAGTATTAATATTATTCTTACAAAGTTGAAATTTAAAAATCAAAACTATAATGAAGGAAATTGCTTGTAAATTAGCTCTCAAAATGAAAAATCAGCAATATTGAGTAGAAGGAACACATTTTCCACTGCCAATTCTCAAGATATGATAATTGCTGGTCACCCAGATGGTTGAAGCATGTTTACTTTCACATCACACACTTAATCTCTCCAACACTCCAGGGGAGCCTAAACTACAGTTTACATTACAGTGAATTCCTTGAGAATTTACTCTGGTGTGTTATTATACAAGCAACATTATAGCAAGAACCATGCACCAGGTTTTTATGCCCAATATTCCAGCCCATATTCCATTACATCCTGTGGGCCCAGCATGATTCATTTATAATGCAATACCAGTCTCTCATTTTGTATAAATCAGTAGTTTTCACATCTGAGAGCTACCTGGTTAGTTTTCAGGAAGTTTCATTTCATTTTGTTTTGTTTGGGATATATCTAGTGCTCCTCTGTTTTTCAAATGGCAACCCTAAGTAACGTTTTTATATATGCCTTATCCTTTCTTGCGTTTTGACTTTTATCCCCACAATTCTAAAAGAGATCTCTCAAACTCACCAATTAACTTTCCACATTTTATTTTCAGTCCCATGTTTAGACTTCACAGCAGCATTTTGCATTTCTCCTTTTAGCTTCTGCGACACCAAGTGATCCTGGTTCTCTTTCCACTTCTGTCTGGCCTCTCCTGCCCAGTCCTCTTTGACACTGGTGTGCCTGTTCCCAAGGTTCTGTCCTTGTCCCATTGTCTTCTCTGTCTACTCTTAGCCAATGCAATCTGGCTCTATCACCTCTACTCAACTGAGTCCTGCATCTAAAGAGCCTGCCCTGAGCCCCACACAAGATGTCACTCTGCTTTTCCAATTGTCTTTTATGTCCACCTGGGGGACCTTTGGACTCCTCAAATGCAAAATTTTGAAACAGAATTTATCTTATCCTCAGATTAAATACAGTATATTTCCTGTCTCTGAGGTTCCAATCTTATTATTATAAAGTTTGACTACTTCCTTTCTTCCTTGTCTATTCTGCAGTGTATCCTGCATCCATTCTTTCTTCTGATTCCACTTACTTCCATCTCAATTTAGATCTTCAATTCCATTCACCT